GTGATTGTCAAGATGAGGGCCCACTTGTGGTGATCCCTAGCAAGCAGCCCTTTTGTTTCGTGTTGTCCGTTTTGATGATCGTCGCCACCGCGCTACTCGTAATTAATGGTCTTGAGGAGTAGTGCGCTGATAGCCCAGCATATATACATATAGATGCATGTTTATGTGCGTTTGTGCATGCTTGTACATGCATAGACTATGTAGGTGTTGTTTTCCAACCGCAAAATGCACATACGACAATGGCAATGTCATTCCCGCCGCTGACATGCAGTTCAGAGACGCCCTGCTGTCTACCTGCCCGTTGCCCCTCTATCCAAACCCTAAGTCCGGCCCTAAATCCCAAACCCTAAACCCCGTATCCAAACTCCAAGTCCAACTATCTAGGTCCCAAGCTTGATGCCATAGATTGCCATCCGCTAATGACCACAGGGGATTAGGTTGGACCACTACGGCCACCACCCACACTAATGGTGCAAAGGGTACTGGTAATGATAGTAGGGTCCTGATACAATCTTAATATACCACTATTTCTGGGGCCCTAAACCCTAAACCCTAAGCCCCCTAAAGCTGGGTGGGACCCAACCTAATTGATGCCCCCTCAGGCAAATCAGAAAGGGGCTGTGCAGATGTACCTGTGGCATCCCAAGACGCAAGCGGCCCTTCGGCTTTCATAGCACTGAGGGTGCCCAGAGAGCCCAATATGGCTTAAGTGAGGAGTATCCTTAAGTAGATAGAATATGTCTTTGGGTATGTTGTAATAAGATCCCCACATATCCTATATTCTGTCTACTTAAGGGGGCCTATAAACCTTAAATGGCATTAGGATCTTCAATTTATGATTGAAGTAGTATTCCTCAGTTCAGATCTGGGCTCCCTGGGTTCAGGGCATAGGGCTCAAGGTGAGTTTTACAGAGCCTCAGGGCTTCGGGGAAGTGGTAGCTTTCTCTTGAGGTGCTCTTTTTTGAGAAGCCCGTTCTTTTCCATTTTTGGGCTATTTCCTTGTGGCTTCCGGCTTAAGCTACGCACTGGAGCCAGAGGTTTTTGGGCAGAACGGGACTACCTAGGACAAAACATGCAAGAGTTTTTGCACACGAAAGCCCGATAGCCCGGCGTCGTTCAATCCGTTCCCGGATATGCAGCAGTCTTCAGCTATGTCGCCCTTATACAATAAAATCCTGCATAGCCACTATATAACCCTTGTACCGCGCGCGGAATCGGACCACTGCCTTTTTGCCTGAACGCAAGGGTCTAGGGTTAGCCGACCGCTTGTTGAATATCTTCTGCGCGATGCCCATTTTCATACATAGATTTATGTATGTGTATGTATGTATACATACATACATACATACATACATACATACACACATACCTCTCACGGCGTACCCTTGATCTTGTGCACCCTAATCCGGTAGTTTGAGGGACGCTAATAGGTATTATAGTATATCCCCCTAACAAGGCTTTTAAACCCTCGCAGTAGGTTCCCGAACCCATCAGTAGCCCTGTGCATGTCTATGACGCCCTATGCAGGACCTAAGGGTACCCCTTTATTGCGCTTAGTAAGCCAATATATATATATATATACATGTATTTATAGATAGGCTAAACCCTACGTAATAACTGAACCCCTAAGTCCTAAAGCCTGAACCCTAAGCCCCTAAACCCCAAAATCCTAGACCCCTATGCCCCGAAACCCCTAAACCCGGTAAATCCTACACACTGCCAGGACTTCTTGGACAAAGCGCTCTGGTCCACCGAGCCGGAGGAGTTGACATTGATCCCACGCTTAGAGTTTGCCGACGGCGTGAGCAAGGTGACATGGACCGCTCTGGGGGCGATTTAGGGCTTAGGGCTTAGGTTGCAAGATTTAGGTTAGAAGGTTTAAGGGTTTAGGCTTCCAGTTTTAGGGCTTAAGTTTTCAGGCTACGGGTTTAGGGTTGAATCTTGAAGCCAGCTGTACACAGGGTTGGTAGGCATCCCATCCATTTGTGTGGGCATACCCTGTGGGGCATCACGTAAAACCAGCAGTGGCTTGAAAGGTGTGGGTTGTGTTTGGGTGGTTCTCACACGATATATGACTAATAAAGGATTTAGCAAATTGGGCAAGCACATGTTTCATCTATGCTTCGGTCAGGTTGGGAATCTTCATATCTTTTGGCTAGACCTCTCAATTTGCCATAGAGCTCGTGCTTGGCGGCTTCAGTGACGTGAGTTCGGCTTGATGTGCCCAGGGAGATCGGAGGAAGTAAGGAAATTTTCGGGGCCACGGATGACGTGTTGGTTTTGGAACGTACTGATGACTTCCACTTGAGCTGTCTCAATGTCTTGACATTCCTGGCAGCGAGTGGTACACAGCGCACACTACAACCGAGAAGTCTGTTGAGCAGAGTGCCTAGGTGAAGAAACAGAGCAGATGGGGGTTGCAAAGGGAACCCCTCATCATAAACCCTTTACAGACCCCAATCTCAGAAAATTCTCAGGTGAGCCAGCTCTTGAGCATCTACCCCAAAGATCAGACAACCAAGGAGCTAGGGTTTAGGGTTTAGGGCTCTCTTGTTAAGGGTTCAGGGTCCAGATTGGAGTAGGGTTGTGGGATCTTGGAGAGTTAATGAATGATTGATGGGTTAGGCACCTACTTAAAATGGGTTACCATAGCGTTATACCAATCTGAAAAGGGGGATGTCATGTAGTACCTGAATTCAGGACCCCTCAAAGTAGGGGTCGGGGTTCAGAGTTTCGCGCTTAGGTTTCAGGGTAATTCAGAGGTTCCAAGATCCTTTTGCAGCAGGTAGTTTTTGGATGCTGCGACAGATGTGTGCATGTTCTTGGTTGTAGGGTTATCTGCTTTCAAGGTTGTGGAGCGCGTTGCTGCCAAGAACCCTCCTTCCAAATTAGATCATCCCCTAAAGAGACCATTGCAACCCCACCGTCACCCAAAGGCCCAAAGGTTCCCTAATCCACTAGTAACTCCGCAGTCCCTCACAGTGGTACCCTGACAGCTTAGCGCAACGCACCCTAAGAAGCCCACTGCAAGCCCAAGAGCCCGCAAATGCAAATCTTGACAGATTAAATCCCAGATCTGGAGCTAACTTGAAATCAAAGGACTTAAGCCCAAGACCCTACACTCCAAGCCATAAAAGCGGTACAGCAAGCAGGACATTGGCTCAGATGCCTGGGGATGGGAGGCCTTGAGCTTTACCCAAAGGGGTTCGGATTGATGCTGGGCATGTAGCTATGCAGGGACTAGGGCTCATGGCTAAGGGAGATGCGAGGGGTTCTGAAAGTTGGGAGGAATTTCTTCACGAATATCCTAGCGCAGCTTGGACCATCATGGCTTCACAACATTGGGTTCCATAGGGATAATGGAAAAGAAAATGGAAACTACCATTCGGGGTTGAGGGAATTGTGTTGCTAAATCAGGGTCCTTTCAGGGTGCAAGTCTCTTTGAGCCTTGGAAGAGGGATCTACTTTTCCACGGAGGGTGACCTTACGTGAGCCATCCGTCGGCCCCATCTACAGGGGTTCCCTCGATTAGGAGGCCTTTTTGTGGGAGCCCCTATCAAGATTACAGCACATTAGCTTGCGCGGATGATCCTGTAAAGCCCTAGACCCCAAACGAACACTTCAATTCTAGCTTAGAAGAGAAGCCATAAGTCCTTAAGTTCTCAACCGCCCGGACCCTAAGCTCTTAAACCCGAAGCCCCAAACTCCTAAACTCAAGCCCCAAAACCCTAAGCCCTTAAACCCTACACCCTAAACCCTACATTGTACCCCTGGAGCCTGCAGGTTATCCAGGCCGCCGGCGCCTACAGCGATCTGTCGCAGGAGGTCGAGCGGCGATTCGCCGAGCTGCCCTTGGGGTTGCACAGGTTTTTGGGATTTAGGGGTTTATTGTTTAGTGGAGTTGGTGGCTTAGAAAAAAAAACAAGGCCTAGACCCTGTTTTTTCAAACATTGAAGCAAAAGGTTTACGTTAGCGGCATGTGCGCTGTATGGCTTTTCTTGCTCCACCCGACCAGCACTACAGACCCCAAACTGCATGAACTCTCCAAACCAGAAATACCTTACATCCAAACCTCGGACCATTCTCACGGGAAGCCGCGACAACTTAATGTCAGCTCTCAGGCAGAGGAAGGTATGTAGAAGTATTGGACTCATTCATTCACGGCATCAGTGCGGGGAGGTTATAACCTCCACCCTAGCTGCCCCTGTATTTCTTCATGGAATCTTCCCATAGCCCTTGAGGAGGTTGCATGTTTGCTTGTTCCTTGGCCCTAGACCTCAAACCCTAAGTACCCTTGAACAAAGCCCTCCTGAACCCTAAAACATCCCAACATAATTAATCTGTCAGAGCCCTGAAGCGTAAAACCCCAAACCCTACAGAACCCTATAGTCCCCCTTAAGTAGATAGAATACGGGTTATATGGGGGTCTTATTAGAAGATGCCAGAAGCCATATTCTATCTACTTAAGGGGACTATAAGCCCCTTTATGGGTTTTCATGTCAACTGGCGCTTCTAAGGGCTGAGCCCTCCTTCTGCGACAAAGTTGACGATCCGGAGGCAACTGGTCCTTCACAACTTGGGTCCCAGGGGTTGAGGTGTTTTGCGTTTAGGTGTTTTTTCCCCGGTGGCTGTTTGGAATCTAGGTACCAACTAACGACAGAGCCCTAGACTCCCTAAACCATAAACCAGACGCTCTTTAAACCCATTAATAATGACAAGTATAAGATTTTGTCAACCCCAACCCTCCATACTGGAGCCCTACTCTGGTCACCCCTTTAGTCATAGACTCCTACAGGGTGCTCACTTGCAGTATTGTTGAGTTTATTTGGGGGTTGGAATTTTTGCAAACAGCCGCCCCAAGCTGACTGGAAAATATTCCCTATGTAGCCCCTATATAGTATATTCTCTTATTCCCTACTAAGAACCACTAGGCAAGGGTCATGCGTCAGGTTGAGACGCTGCTTACTGCCTTGGGTCGGTCGGACAACGCTGCTGCGGCCATGCAGGTTTTGGGGCCCCATGCGGGCAAGGTGCTGCTAGGCAGCCCTTCAGTGGGTGTTAAGGTAAGTGGAAAGAACATGGAAGCTACTGTATAATCTTACTCGTGGTTAGTAGGGAAAAGTTGAGAATAGAATGCGTATGTAATAACTTCATATACTATCTTGCCCTATTCCCCACGAACTGCAGTAAGTAATTTAGGTTTTAGAGTTCAGCCTGCTAGTAGGTAATTGGGGAAAAAGGGGCTTTCAGGGCTCTACAGGGGCCAGTATCGGAGAATATATAGGCATATAGGAACTAGGTATAGGGCTTAGGGATGCTATCAAATACATCTCTGTACCACAAGATTGACTAGGTTGTTCAATCCATCTTTGGAGAATGCTGTTGGTGGAATCGTCCCGGCATCTGATGCCTACTTAGCCTTTCTCAAATGCTGGAGTGTAGGCATCAGGGATTAGTGCAGGGCTTTAGCTTGCTCCCCTAAGCCTAAGCTTTTCCTGCAGAGAGTACGTAATTGCAGACCCAGACCTAAGAGTTCAGATGACACATCACATGCTGGCGCATACCTCCATTCTTTGAAGCCCTGGCGCAGATAAGGAAGCAAGCAAAGGAGGCGGTAACTCGGAGACAGATACACTTTTTTCTTTTTTTTTTGGGGTGGGGGGGGTGGAGGGGGGGGGGGCACAGGGTTTTGGAGTTGTGGAAATGAGAAAAGCTCCTTAATAGCCATGGTCTTCAGGATCGGATTTTTTCATGGATGTCCCAGCCAGGTTGGTTTGCTTCAAGTTGCTTCAAGCTTCAAGAGTCCAAGTATCCAAGAATCACATACTTACCCCAAATCTGTCCTACAAGTGTTAGTACCCAAATTCCAAGTACCCAATGATTGGGTACATGGACCCTCTGGGGAAGTTCTGGAGCATTCCCAGCATGTGGTGGCTATACGCTATGCATGTGCTCGACTGATTTTCTTGTGACGTTTGCCTTGCCGTGTGACATCGGACAATCGGCTTTCCCTTAAACATTACTAGTTTCATTATTACTGCCATAAGATTATTATTATGTCTACTATCATTTCTGTTACATGCCACGTGCCCTCAGCACCCCCCGACAACACCAACCTGATACTTCAGACCTCAACCGCACTAGCCGCACTCTCAGCACAGAAGCAGGAGTGCTAGGGAGCTCAGGGGTTTTATAACGCAACGTGTTTATCCTAGGCCTCTGAAGGCACATTCCTGATGTCTAAGGCTAGAAGTATGGGCCCTTAATATGGGCCCTTAGGCCTTCTAGGCGGGTTCTAGGCCTTCAATGATGACCTTCCCCCAAAGGTGACCAAGATGATCTCGCAGCTCAGCCCGCCGCAAGCTCGAGCCACTATGCGAGTTTGGTGTTTGGGGTCTAAAGTTTCTAGAGCGTACTTATCATTAACCCCGATTACCTACAGCTTTGTGGCCAAACCTATCATTCAGGGAGTAACTACAAATCTGTTGACGATTGGTGTTAGAGGTAGGGGGTGGGGAGGTCTAGGGCGTAGAATTTCGCGGATCCCCGGTTTGGAGGCAGGCAGGCAGCAAGTTCATAATGCCGCGCCGACAAAGCATTGCTGAGCTGAGCTTAGGCTGGGGAATTGTCTAGGTAGTTACAACGACCCAACATGCCATACTCCTAATCCCTTGTAACTACTGTTATAGATAGCCCGATTGTTTCGTGAAATGCCTACCTGGCCTAAATGCCCCCGCAACCCTTCAAGCAGAACGCTCGTGGAGGCTGGTAAAACTTGTGTCGGGGTTGGCTTCGGAAGCGCGACAACACCCAGGCTAATCAGTATCCTTGCGACGAAGGTCGCACCCAGTGTAATAAGACATACGCTCGTCCTCCTTGTAAATAACATAATCGTAGTTTCCATGTTCTTGTCCATTATCCCAATGTAGCCCCAATATAACCCTGATATTAGTTAATGAAACCCCCTTCCTGCTTGTTTCCGCGACTAGGGGAAAGCCTCAACCCCCAATTCTTTCGCGAAGCTGAGCTGCGAGTTGCTCCTTATAATCCACCACCCTGAAGAGTAGCCTCCCCCACCCCTTTTTAACAATACTAACATACTAACAATAAGACACTCAATGTCTTATCATCATGCGTCTGGGGGGGGGGGGGTTGGGGGTATTTCTTGTCAAGGGGGTCGGTTGTAGGAAAGGCAACTTCCATCTGTATGCGATGTGTAGCCCTCAACCGCAACACCCGCTCTGCGTTGTATTTGAGAATATGAGCGTAGAGTTTCTGGGACCCGCGTATGGCTCAGAGGTTCATGGTACTTGCACCAGGCCAAAGCTACTCAAATCCAACAGGCAGCACACCCCAGCGCCTGAGCCAAAAGCCGCCAAACTCGAACCCCTTTAACTGTAGGCTGTTGCAAGCTTAAACTCATGGATGCCGCGGCCGTGACTCAAACCTGAGACCAATAAACACGAAAGGTTCTCATTCGCCAAGTGATGCTGCCCAAGAAAGCCGGCGTCGGTTTGCAAGTTGCAGGCTAGCGATTTGGTCTTGTCTTGGTAGCTTAAGGAACTTAAATTCAAGTTACCAGAACAGGGATATATAGTACGTAACGGGGTCTCCTTCTTGTAGTAGTAATCAACCAGTTCGGGTTTATAGGGTGCAGTGTTGCAAGGGTCGACTCCTTGTTCCCCCAAAGATAGTTGCATCCCTTGTTTTGGCCCTGAGCTTCAGGCTTAATGATGTGGGATACATGTTTCAGTCTAAGATTAGAAGTATGGGCCCCTAGGGGGATTCTAGGCACACTTATCAGGGTACATATAGGTTGCATAGTAGGTATATAAGGATCCCAAGATTAAGGGCCCATGCTAGGGGCACTTGGTACTATTCCCAAGCAAAGGGTTACTCGTTGTGGAAAGAACGGGCTCGGAAGAACCCAATGAAGGCTGGTGGCATTGTGAAAAGAACGATTTTGAGCAGCGTGCTGGGCTCGAAGACGTATGTGACAGCCAGAAAGCTTTGCATTTGTGAGTCACCGCGCTTGGTTAATGGCCACAGTCTTTTCCTCTTCTGAAAGGGGCAGTGCAGGCCGAATCGATTCCCAGCTCTTTCTACGAGTTGGTAGCCACACCTTGGGTCCAGTGAGCCTGCTCCACCCTAAACCCCTCGGGCAGGTCTGAAGAAAATCGTGGATTTGCGGATTCCCGATCCGTCCGCACCTCAAGTCATCAGGGATCGAGCTGGATTGAGGATGAAAGCTGCTGCAAGGGGCAAAGTCACTTCTTCTCATGTCTGTGTAGGACCTACGCTACCGGCTAAACTCCTAGTATCCCCTGAACAGCCCCTATAGTACTCCCATATATAATCCTCCCTTTAACCCCCTTGAAGGAGTTTAGATTATAGCTTACATTGTCACTTGAGGCGCAAGCTTGGCATGCGGGGCCTGACCTACCCCTTACGGTTCAAATGCAATTTGCAAGGGCCCCAAGTACCTATACCTATACAGGAACCCAGCCAAATTATCTACTATTTGGGTACTTGGACACTTAGAGTACTGTACTTAAAGCTCAGGTCCTTTTGGGGAGAGCTTGCGGCCCCAGTTATACTAAACAGTTATAGTAAGCATGTTTTGAACCAACCCGATACACTGGTAGAGCATTTTGCCCGCTTGAATGTTGGATGGCCGATTGTTGTTGGGGGTCTTGGTGGAAGAAGTCTTTTGTGCGTCTTTGCGGTCCCAGAAAGACGAGTGTGACAACAGGTAGCTTCTCAGTCGCAGCCTGAACGAGGCTGAGTCAAGATAACAAATTCAATCCGTGCTCCCACGAATCCTCATACCAGGACAGCGTCCCGAGCGTCTTGGAGACAAACCCTAAACCGCAAACCTTCGTTTCACACAGACAAGATCTGCGTGGCCCCTGCGCAGGATGACACAATCAAATCGAGAAGTGTACAGGCAAAAGGCCCTGATTTTCCGACCCGGCTTCATCGAGAAAACTATCTGAAGGTTCCCAGGTAGCTGGCAAGAATCCGAGCTATGATTTGATTCGTGCTATTGGGCTTCAAAGTCCCCAGGAAGTCCTCATATCCCTGCATATATCCCTCGGGTACCTGAAGGACTCCCTTCTCCCGAAACCCTAAATCCAAAACCCAAAGCCCTCAATGCATGATCAGGTTGGAGCTGTATACCTTCGTATGGCGGAAGGGCGAGTGCCAGAGGGATGTTGCAGGTCAAACGGGGTAGGGGGTTAGGGTTTAATTAGGTGGGATAGGGTTTAGGGGTTAGGATTTAGGTTTAAGGGTTTAGGAAGATGCAGAGGAGCGCCATTCAGCAATATTGAGTGGGGTTGGGGGGGTTTGGGGTACTGCTTCACCTACAACCATTCGGGAGAAGAGGTGCGTAACTCCTGTTTCTCTCCCATGCTTTGATCCATGTTTGTTGGTTTGCGTCGGCCGCTTATGGAGTAGGTGCTGATTGTCCGGCTGCATTCGAGATAAGGTAGTTTCCCAAATTATAGGGACCCCAATATAGAACCCAATATACTGTAATCATTATTATAGGGACCCCCCAAAAAGTACCCATCATTTTGGGAAACCCTAAACCCTAAATCCTAGAATATAGGTAATATCCAACCCCATGATGATAGTTTCCATTATATTTTCCATTATCCCTGTAGTGGAGATATGAATCCAACCTTAAGACAACACTAAACAAACCTTAAACCCCAAATCCTAAACCCTAAAACCCTAAATCCTAAACCGCGGAGGCCTACGAGGGCCCGTCCTGGGGCTTTGGGTCTCCCAAGTACCCGGAGAGCTGTAGCTCATGATGACGGCTCTTGTCAAACTTATAATCTACTAATTTACTAATCTTCTCTAATATTCTAGAATATTCTATGATATTCTACCATACTATATGACATATTTTGGGTACTGCCCCCCCCCAGTAACAGTTGGATAATAATCATAATATGGGTATATATAGCCCTTAATAGGACCCCTAATATAGACTGTGACTGGGCGGGGGCAGTACCCAAGACATATTCTATAATGATCAGATCTAGGCATCTGCCAAGCTCGCCCAGAGAAGATGGCCCGTGGCAGGCAACATTCTGTCCAAGGTGGCTACATCCGGAGAGTTCCAGCCTCAGTTGCAGGGTGCTGCCTGCAGGCTGTAGTTTTATCTACGCATGAGCTTTTGGAAACAAAAACCTTAAAGGGTGGTTATACAGGGGATTATATAGGGGAATACTATAGGGGTTATCTGGGCTGCGATTGGTTGCTGTGGCATATCATATACGGGATTCCTGGAAACTCTCAACTGCTGACACGAGACGTATCCTTGGCCTTGGTTTCTCACCTCTGGAAATTACTCCTGAGACAAGTGATCCTTACCTTTTGCCTGGTACTTGATACCTTCTTTGTTTATCAATCTGGTCTTTGAGCTAGCCCCTACGGGGCGTCAAGGACAGCACAGCTGTCAATTCTTTGGCACTCGCCGATGGCTTGTGCTTGGGGCTTCTGCCCGACAGGCCGTCTAGAACACCTAGCGGCACGCAGGACATATGGACTATGGCCGCGACTGCATTGCATATAGGGGTTATCAAGGGGGATACTAGGAGTTTAGACTATAGCCCCTATAACCCCCTACATGATCACAGTTTCCGTTTTATTGTCCATGTTTTTTCCATTTGATTCTCGATTATTGGGGTATAGCTCACATGTGCCCTAGCAGCAGGGTTACCCTTCAACCTTACAATTCCAAACATGAGCCCTAGATCTGCTTGAGGATGCTGCCTTGGGACCAACATACAAATATAGGGTAAGATAAGGTTCTGTAGGGATACTGGAAAAGAAAATGGAAAAAACCGGGATTCTATGGGGCCATATAGGGATTATAGGTATAGGGTTAACTTCAAGGGCCACCTTAACGCAATTTACATCCAGGATCTAGTGCATCTAAACCCCTGAAGAATTCGCAATTAGGGCATGCGTTGCGCCAAGGTTCCGCCCAGAAGATGTACGTCTCTTGGTTTTCATCCGAAAATATTTGAGCTTGAAGACTTGGAGCGCGAAGTTGGGATCTAGGTTGAGGTCAGCGGCTGAAGCCCTGTCGACATGATCGTCGTTATCAGTCCCTCATGTTGTCGGTGCCTATGTAGGAAAAAAGAAAGGTGACTGTTCCCCTGGCCGAGGCTTCTACTTTGATTACTTCGACCGAACGGACAACCAAGATGATCAGGCGGGGTGGGGTGGGTTTTAACGAATTCAGAAATGGAAGCAGCGCTGGGCTTATGTTAAAGTAAGCAGTCTGTAAATTTCATTTTTGGACAGCCCAAAAAGGAACGTAAAACCACAGTTTTTCTTCACATTCCAATAAGGAACCAGAACTATGGCAGGAACACCCTAGCAGCCACTACTCGTGGGGACTATCTAATACAATGTAGATAGGTCAGCAATGAGTTGGCCAAGCTGCGTGCGTATCGCTGTGACAGAGTTGGGTGAGTAATTTATCTAGGCCTTGACCCCCACATCTTGGACCTTAAGTTTTTACCATGGACCCCAAACCCAAGATCCTACCATGGTGGGAACCCCAATTATTGGTTCTGCATATGGTACTTTCCCAGAATAAGGGGACCCCAATATAGACCCCAAAAAGGTCATAATCCTTATTACATGGATCCCCAGAAAGGTACCCCTAATTTTGGGAAACCCCCATATTGATTAGGCTGTAGAAGCGGGAACGAAAGGCCGGTAATTATGAGCCGGTTTTTAATACTGGAGTTCATTGTAGGATCTTCAAGTTACCCTCCCCCCTTAATATAATAAGTCCCCACCCCCCTGATATTAAATACTCCCAATATATTCTAATATACCACAGTTTAGAGGGGGGGGGTGCCACGTCATGCAACGCAGCAGCCCATCTTTGCATCTACCTTTGAGAAACCCGATCTGCTGTAGAACTGCTAGTCCATGTTGAAAGCCGTGGTAAGTGATGCCTGTACGGAACCATGTGCTACCTATTCTAGGAAGGCATAGAGCTTAAAGCGGAAACCATGATAGTTCTCAGGAGGGCTTTACTGACCCTACCCTCTGAATGAGCCCAGCCGAACGCCAATGGGGACCGTGGATGATGCGAGGAAGCCTATACAATTCCTTCGAATCCTTTTTCTTACCAACACACGAGCCTAAAACCATCCTAGGCATACGTGGCGCAGATCATGCTCGACCAGCTCATCGAGCAGCCAGAGTGGGTGTTGCCCTACCTTCCAAAGGCGAGTCATGATGGGTGCGTTCAAGATAAGAGGCCCCTAGGAGGGACCTATGGTGGATGAAGGAAATCTTGCACCAAGTAGTCTCCCCAGACTATTGTCATTATCATGATTGTGCCTACAGGGTGGTGCAAGGCTTCCTTCATCCACCCACTAAGGGTAAATAGATACGGGTCACAAGTAGATTTTGCGTGCCCTGATTGGGGGCTCCCTTAGAGTGTGATGAACTCTAATGATTTGTTCATTGTCCTGGTGTTATACGTGTTACTCAGACCTCTGCGTTTCCAGAGTTTTGGCCCTTACTCTGCCTCTCTGTGGGTTCCCAACAATGAAGTAGGGGTTTCCTTTTGGGGGGTCCTTACTAGAATGTTCGGAGTATTTGAGGGTTTATATTTGGGTCCCCTTTATGGGAAACGCCGTCTGGGCCTCCAAGCATCAGCCTGCCACAAAATGAGTGCTCTATGTGTGGTTGGAAGCAGACCCACATCCTGAATGCCCTAAAGCCAACTTCTATCAACAAATCCAGCTCCTAAAGCCTTTCCTGCAACCCCAATAACCTGCAGCAAGGTAGGAATTGTGGCGTGATTCGTAGACATCCAATGAGCAGTTAGAGCTGTAGGTAATTGGGCTTACAGGTTAGCTATATATTATTCTATAATATAAAAAATTAACTATAATATACTATATATTATATACCCTCAGCAGGTCGTCTCCAAATTGGCCATGGTGCCAGGGGCCACAAACAAGTCTGTGCAAGCACTGAAAGCCTGCACCTCAAACGTGCCTCGGGCAGGTTTTAGTTGAGGGCTTAGGGTTTAGGGTCAAAATTTACTTGCTACTATAGGGATCCATTCCTCCATTCCCTGAGAACACCCAGACAGTTTTCGGCTAAGGGTAAACGGCATTCTTGAAGTCATGGTCATCTGGCAGCCCCAAAACTAAAACTTTCGGAGAATGATAGTATCTGGGGTGCATACAGGAGATCCAAATTGCAAAAAGGACGAGCCTTAGCAGGATGATGGCTTTCAGCGGTACTGCTGCCTTGTTGCTACGCACTATAGCGCTTGCATTACGGGACTTCCTACGGGTATTGTTCCTCTTGTCCCCCCCCCCAGAGAGATAGAAGCCTGATGATAGGACGCGGATGGGGCCGCATCATTTTGAATAGCATGAGGATCTTGCATCTCGGTGGGACAGGCTTAAGTTGAGATTGCGCTATCAGTGTAGCTGCAAGAGACGATAGTTGACAGATGTTCCTGAGCTCAGCTCACGCTTCTGCTATAAGCATACCAGGAAGGGATTAGCCCCTAAATCCTAAATCCTAGATCCTAAAGTCTTAAACCCTCAGATGCTGAAGTCCTAAACCCCTAACCATTCATCCTAAATCCTAAGCCCTAAATCCTGAGACGTTTGATGCCGTGCCTGCTGTGAGCGATGCGCGTGTCTAAATCCTGAACCCTACGCCCTCATCCAAGGTCACAGATGTTGTGGAGGCGCTCACAAGTGTCTTGCAGGCTTCTCGCTTGGCCTTCAGGACGGACCCCAAGCTCAACAAAGAAGGAACCTTGGCTTATATCGAGTTACATAGGGGCCATAAATTATATAGAAATATATAGGGGTTACATAGGTTTAGGGGGTTATATAATGGGTTATAGTATTGGGGCCTGCATGGGCTTATATAGGAGGGTACCTATATATATATATATCTCTATCCATATGTATATATGGGTTGTATAGGTGGTAAGCCAAGACTATTTAGGGGGTTCAATGTTGCTGTGGAAGCTTTTTCTGGATGAGGGAGCCCCTTTTGGAGGCCTTAACTACAATTCACGTCGGGCTTTTCTTGGGCCATTTTCGCAGTGATCAGGGGATTTAGGTCGAGCCTGTTACTTCTCATTGTTCGAGTTTTCTCCTTGTAGAGTGTAGACAACCCAAATACCCTAACAGCCCTTACAATAACATTGAACTCTGGGATATAGTGTGCAGAGAGAGAGAGAGAGAGAGCGATATACATATATATATATATAATACACAGAGGTATATGTGGTTCAGAAGTGGGTCCGTATCACGTTTAGGACCTTGGTTTCTGGTCGCCGGGGACATGATGAAGTAAGAGTGAGTAGCAACAGAAGCCGCACTCCTGCCTGTTCCTCTAAGCAAGCTTTCTCATCGGCTTCATGGTCTTGTTTTACTCTTCTGCTAGCAGCAGGTAAATTGGGCACACAATGGCTTCTTACCACAGAGCCTCCTTCCAGGCATGTAATTAAGCCGCCGGACCAGCAGCATCTCTTTTCGCTCAAAGCTTGAGGCTTCATGGGGCACCCTTTTCTCAGAATGCATGATTCGTTGCTCATGGGCCTAAGGGTAACTTATCCTCACTTTCCATCAGAATATGCGTCTAACTGGCCTTTCGCGCGTCAGGTTTTACAATGATTCAGCTAAGGAACTGATGGGCGAGTGTTGGCAGATCTGATTTCCCTGACGCTTGGACGCGCAAAGTACCCTAGGGGGATTATGGGCGACCCTGTTAGTGATTGTATGGTGTTCTTAGTGGTGCGGGCAGATACGAAGTAGTTAGGTTGGTGAAGCTACACAGCTTTAACTGACGCGAGTTAGTGGTCCGGGTTAAAGGTGATTGGTCAGCACCATGCAGGTCTCCTGGATGCTTTGCTGTTAGGATTTGTTAGGGTTTGGGGTTAAGTGTTTGGGTAAAGTGGCAGCCTTATCAAGAGTATGCAGGTTAGCGTTAGCGCTCATCGTTAGCAACCTACGGAGCAAAAGCAGACCTGCAGCTGGAACCAGCGTAACTTCATAGAAATCCGCTGTCCAATAGTCATCTCAATAAACCATCGAATCCTTTCCCGGGACTGAACCCAGCTCAGAACGGATGTTCTCACAAGGGTTCCCTCATAATCGTAATGAGTCCTCGTGTATTCTGTGTTCGTGAAAGCCTGTATATCGATGCCCCCATTTTCATCCCTATGCTTGTTCCCCAGCTTCCACCGCAGCACGATCAAGATGAGGATCTCCTTCGGTCAGTTCACGGAGCTGGTGAACGCCGTCGCGCGTATGTCCCTGGAGGAGATCATAGGGTCTTCATGTACCTCAGACTCTAAACTATAAGCCCCAACGCTTGTGTCCCATGATGCTTTATCTACACAAGCTTGGGTACGTCTTAACATGTTAGAATTTAGGGGTTTGCTCTCGGGGTTCTGGATGGTACCTACATTGCACCGAAAACTCCATACGACTGCTACTGTCGTTTTGGGTACGGGTAATCGAGAGGAGGTACTGAGGCAGTGATGGTTAAGCTAATGCAGACGATGAAATAATTACCAACAGTATGGTCACATGTTCCTTGTATATTCCTGGTATAGGCTGCCTCAAGTAGACATCAACATGTTGAGGCAATTATATAGGCCTGTATGGTACTCCTCTCCGCAGATTCGAATCATTACAACTCCGAAGATTGAACAAACACGCCCACCATCTCAGAACACAGTTATGAGATATCTTATGTATGGCGGGAGGAGTATTGTTAAGACTGGGAGGTGTTCAATATTCAATTCAAGGGAGGTGGTTACCTTGAGGGTCAGGTAGTGCAAAGCAGTAGCTTCGGGTTGACTCTGTGGACTCTCTTAGCTTCTGACACCAAGAAGAGGTCTTACCTCACGTTAAAGCACGGTGGTTCAAGTAGAATATGCTTAAACAAAAGGTCTTCTCTCAGGGGTTTCTATTGTCATACTTGGCCAGGGCCCGCAATTTTCGGAAATTATGAGTTGAAAGGCCCTTCCTGGCAGTTTGAGATTACTTTTAGAGGTAGCCCTGTCAGGAATGTGACCCAGCGACATTGAAGACTTTCCTTCGCGAGGTCGGCTGCTTGTGGATGGTACCCTCCCCCAGGCAAAAACGGTAGGTGATAAAATCAAGCTCCTCCTTGGGGCCCTCATTATATACGCCCTAATATTTATGATAGTCTAAAAGAAATTTTCTCGACCGCCATACGGAAACCCAATATTGCTCTCTGGTAGAAAGACATCAATCTTTATTCTACACGGCTTTTGGTCGTGTTTCATGCTTTTGTTGGGGAATGTTGGTGTGATTCATGATGAAGGTTCGTGGATGACAACATAGTGAAGGGTCCACGAGTCCACGACATAGTCAAGGGTTTCCAACTGGGGTCCATATATTGAAGTTACCATAACGGGTACACATAGCAATTAATGTGGCATGATATGGTGCCCCTAAACCCTTAACCCCCAATAATTTGGGCAACAGCTGATGTCAGTCGAGGAGAGCTTGATTTTCTTTTGGTGCGTAGCAGCAGATAAGGGAACAGGCTTTAGGGTTCAGGGTGGATCCCTACAGCAGTCGTTAATGATATAATGGATGCCTGCCTTTGGTGCTGGAATAGTATATCAAGGAATGAAATGGAAAATGGAAACATTGTATTTTTTGTTATATAGTAGGGATATATATGATTTAGGGTTAGGGATATTACCCCAAATAATGGATGCCTGCTGAAACCTTTACTTCGGACTTGTTCCCAGACTGACCCTTCCAATCACAGGTAACGAGCGTCGAGAGAACTGTGCATTCTTGCGAGATGGTTCTAAACCCTAAACCCAATATAGTGGGCCGCAGCCCTAACGTGCCTTTGCTATGTGTGATCCCCAAGCAAAATCGCAAAGGTGTAGGGTTTAGGGTTTAGGGTTACCGAGCGTTGACCAGACAGGCCGTCCTTTGCACGTGGCCGGTCATTTCTCCACATTTTGCCGCTTTTCATAGATACAGTACCCTGAACCCCTCAACCCAAACCCCTCTTACAACCTTTGGTTGGTAACTAAGTACCGCGCATTATCGCTTCATAATGCCCATGGATTATAGGGTCTCAAACACCCCTGTACCAAACCTCCTCTTCGTACTGATAAGTGGGAAATGGACCAATGGATCCTACGAGAATGCCACTGTACCCCCGATGTAGTATGTTCCCGTTTCTCTTCCACTTCTGCATTCTCCTGCTGCTAACCATCAAGTTAACCCTAAACCCTATATAACCGTAGAAACCTCTACTTGCCATCTCGTTTTCCGCTTGGTTGTCATTCCCTACTTACAACCAGCAAGTTTCAACCATCCGCTTTCTAGGTCTTCCGCAGATGGGAGCAAGCAGTGACTAGCAACGACAACAACGCAAAAGGCCGGATAGGGCCCTGCCTAGGGGGGGGCCCTGCGTAAGTTTTTAGTTGTTGCTTGGGTGATCGGCTCCCCACAAAATAGCTAGGATTGATTCTTGCCAGGGGTTTGAATTTAAACCGCTTGGGGTCTCCGCTTTTTCATTTTAAAGGAGTTCGGTGGGGTAACGAGCAAGCAAAGATACACGTGTCGGTTCAAAGGGCTTCAGGGCTTCAGGAGATGCTGGACGAAGGCTGGTTCACAAGCACACCCACGGGCCTCAACCCGGGATTGGAACTCCTCCAAGGCCACTTCTTAGATGAGCTATAGTCTAAACTCCTTAAAGGTGTTATATAGGGGATTATATATAAAGGACTACTATAGGGGATATTAAGGGGGATGCAATGATACACTATAACTCATAATATGAGTCATAGGTGCCCCATTTGAGGCTACCTGCAGGCAGTGATGCGATGCATCAATGGCCACCTTAGTCCGGCATTCCTAGGTGGGCAAGCCCAGTCCCCCTTAAGTAGGTAGAATACGGGGTATATGGAAATCTTGTTTTAGTATACCCAAAGCCATATTCTATCTACTCGCGGGCGACTATAGTCAGGTAATATCCTACAGCCTCTTATACACACCGTTTGCAGACAACGCTGACCCTGATGTTTCACAATATGCCTAATGATAAGGCTCCCCCCCCCCCCCCCGCCTTAATTGCCTATCTTTCCCTGCTTCTATCGTACATAATGGCGTTCTACAGGGGAATTTACCCATCTGAGTAGCATTTAATTTGGGGATACGATGGTACCCAATACAGAGAAAGATTATATCCTCCTTTTGGTGTATAGTATTTTATATAACGAATATACTCTTACCGGGTTGAACCACGAAAAAAAACGCTACTAATTTGAGTTTGGCAAGGCTACTTCAGCTGCGCCTTGTCTGCTTGGGTCAAGCTTCTGCGTCCCGGGCAGTACAACACCTGGGCATCGAGGCTGCAGCAACAAAAAGACCAATATTGTCTTTAGGGTTTAGGGCTTTAGGGTTTAGGGTTTTAGGGTTTAGGGTTTAGAGTTTAGGGTTTCGATGTATAATCATTATGGTTATTGCGGTCGTCGATTTGATGTATAATAATTACTGGGTAGGCCTTTGGGTTCCTTAAACAATACTTCTACCTAGTACCTAAGCCCTAAACCCTAAACATTCTAAATCAATTAGTAGTTCCTAAGTCTTATGGACCTTCAAGTAAACCACATGCCTGTTATATGAGCCCTATATGTCTCTGTATGACCCCTATGTATCCCCATATCCTATACAACCCCTACGACTCGACATGCCAGTTCGAACCCCCCTAAGCCCCTGAACCCCAGATCCCTAAAACCTAAATGGTGGTTTCCGAAAACTATGGGTACTTTTGCGGAATTCCCATAATAAGGATTATAGTTTTTGGGGGTGCATATTGGGTTTCCTCTATTTAGGGAAACTACCAAATCCCTGAACCCCGAAACCTTAAATCCAGGTAACGGAGCTTGAGGAGATGGAGAAACGAACTTTCGACAACGGAAGCGTTGAAAGCTGGGGTCAGATGGCCCAGGTTGCGCAGGGGTTGGCAGGGGCATCATATGGTTTTGGGGTTGGGGCTTTAGGATTTAGAGTTTAAGAGGTGTTGGAGTTATGTGATTCCGGCCTCAGGGTAATTTTTTCGTTTCCGATTTGGCGCAACAGGAAAAACTTCCCCCGGCAATGAATATGTCCAATACCAGCATGTTTCAGGAGAATATTTTTTGCTGGCAGTTTGGTCATGCGGTGGAGGGATCGGGCTAACGATTCATGGGACTCGGAACTGCCTACACTTGCGGTTGCTAATCGTTCATACTCACGCTCGGTTGGCTTGATATAGCGCAACCCCAGCTGCCAGCGGAGATGCGACCACTTGCTAATCCCGAAGGACTCCCAAGTAGGTTTCTTGGCACCTAGTTAGAGATCATTCTTGGGATTGAGGGACCATGTGGTTCATTCCAGAACTTGGCTTCTTGAATACAGGGATGATAAGGTTTCTTGTGATGCAATCCATGTCGGGAACGGCTGCGTTTGGGAAGGTAGCGAGTTTTTGATTAACAGAGAGCCAATCCTCTTTATTCTTCGCAGCCCTCTGCTCAGAACGCCCCGCTCAGATCTAGTAGGAGTTTTGCAGAATGGCTTGCTTGTGGTCCCAAATTATTCCCTCTTTGGAATGGCCCGCTACATGGGCATGTTTAAGTGCGGTAGGAGGCTGTCCTTAACCGAGCTTACTGCAAGTCATATACACAGGCTTCCCTGCAGGGTCTGACAACCGCATAGTTGTGGTTTCGCGCCGTGCAAGATGCTCGCAATGATTTCGGGAGCAATGTACATAGGGATTATATAGGGATAATGAAACAGAACATGGAAACTACTGTAGTGTATGGTTTTTCCATAGGGATGATGGACAAGAAAATGCAAACTACTCCCGTTTTAGCTTAAGCTCTGGGCAAATTGTTGTGAAGTCATCAGGCCTCAACCCACGAGGTGGCTTATATTGATATCCTTCCCAAAAGGGCCTGTATTTCAGGGTCGTCAAGTATCAAAACTTGGCCCTAATGGTGAATGCAGTGCAGGCATTGGCAGGCTATGCCCCAGATATGGGCCTCTCTCCTGATGATGCCTGGCTTTCCTTCATTCATTGATTTGAGGGATCCTAGGGTCAGGTAATGCATTATATCCCTTAGGTGGACCCCCCACCCAGTAGTAGTGACTACAAGGGATAATAGGGACTGTATGAAGGTCCTCATTCCAATTACACCACTATTACACGGTGGGCTGTCCTCCTGATATATCCCCAATAAGCCCACCATAACCACATTGCAACCGATTATAAGTAGGTCCCCTAACCCATGTTTAATTCCAGGGTCCCTGAAAGTGATGCATGGAATCTATTGGGAAGGGGTTGGAAGGAGGTTTCCTGAACCGGTGTTGCAGAGGCCTCGGCTAAACAACATTAAGTTGGCATGATGTGGATTTGTAGAGAGAGAAGGAGAGGCCGTCCTGATTATGATAACTCGACTCAAGTTCCTCAATAGCAACACAGTCGCAGCCTCTTGCGTCCTCATTTGGGACGGCCCTTGTGTCCAAGTTGTTGGATTCCTGGCGCCTGTGTTTCCTTGGCCAGTGATGATGGGCTTGCGGTTGAATCCTGAAGTCTGCCAAGGTCGGCCACCTGATGGGTCTGAGAACGAATACAAAACTGACTATTCCAGTCATTCCAGGCTCCTAGGTGGGAGGTGACCCCTGTGTAACCACCAATCTCAAGGATCCCCAACAGTTTCGAGAAATTTAATGCTTCTTGTCAGGAGTGGGACCAGATGCTGCAGGTCCTTCGAGGTCTGTTTGTGAGATTGCTCGATGGCCCTCTCCGCGTGAACACGGACGCGGCTGAGAACAAGACTCCTGCAGATGACACCTTCAAAAAGGAATCCCAGCTGGAATTCAGATCGAAAGTTCAAACTGAACGCTGTTCAAGGATGCAGTTGGTGCCTATGTGAAGTGAGGGGTGGATCTTCTTCTACATGATTTTGGCAAGATCCCTAAGGCCCTTAAGCTCAAGAATACGATCGACATCTGCCACAATTCGTACATGTTAAGCCACTGTCCAGGAGAATAGCTCTCGCGAGCAAGTTCGAAGCGACCTGCTGCTGACTTACTGGGTGCAGCTGCTCTCGCACGGATGCACCGAGGATGAGTCAGGCACTCAGAAATTCTCCCAGCAGCATGCAAATCGCAGAGGCCTCCCGAACTGGAGCGAGAACGAAGGCAGAGAAGTACAAAACAGCAACAAGTGCATAAAGACGACGTCATGACGCATTTATTGCTATTCCTAGCACTATTACTATTACTGATATGAGTGTTGCTATTCTTGTTGTTGTTTATTAAGATTTTCATGTTGTTTTTTATTTGAAATGATTGTTATTATAGTTTCAGTTGTTTTTCTTAGCTTTGTTATTTATGCGTGGAGCTCGAAACTTTGAGACTTGAAGCGCAATGAAGATGTAGTCGCCAGGTGCACGAAGAAAGGTGAGGGGCTTTCAGGTATGAACATTATACCCTCTTAGCCACCATAGCGCCGAAGCATCCAAACACTTTCCCGCTAGCCCGTCCTGAACCCGTGCTTTTTGTTTTGCTGTTTGGTCGTTTTTGTTGTTGGGCCCCTTAAAGCCGAGCCAGGCAGACCGGTAAGTGAGTGAACTCCCGTCCCCCGCCCAGATAGCCAAAAAAAACGCCCTCCCGCCCAAACCGCAAAAACAATAAACATGCACCCCGCCCAAACAGAAAAAAAATGAACACGCACCCGCCCAAACGGCAAAAAAAACAAGCTTTGCCCACCCGCCCCCGCCCCCCAAACAGCAAAAAAACACACCCGCCCCTCCCCTGCCCGCCCAAACAGCCAAAAAACAAACACGCCATCCGCCCAAACAACGCTGTTTGGTCGGTAGTGTTTTTTTTGTATTGTGGCGGGGGCGGGCCTTACGTGAAGCGCCAGCGCATTTTTGCTGAAAATCAAATTCTGCTGTGGAGACGTCAGGCAAAGGGGCGGGGGCTTTTTTTTGCTGTTTGGGCGGGTGCGTTTTTTGCTGTTTGGGCGGGGGGCACGCCTCCGCCCAAACAGCAAAAACCACCCGAAAAGCCCAAACAAACAAGACCAGACCCAAAAAAAAATTCTTACCCAACCCATCCCATCCCGTCCCCAGGTTCTAGCAACCGCAGCACTTTCTGCAATGGCGCAGGCAATTCCCCAGACAGAATCCACATCTTTTCCTGTGGGCCCCTTTTTTGTGCGAAAAACGTGCATGCCTAGGTCCAACGAGCTCTTCAAGCGATGCCCAGACGCTGAGCTGAAGTCCAAGCCAATATTATCAGGGTGTGTGCTCTTCTTTGCTGTTCAAAGCATGGATGCTCAGTCAGTAGCACTGTTGTATCCGTGTCCTGGTCGCAAGGACCCAGCCGAACTGCAAAGAAAAGGGCTCTCCGGATTGGAGTTTGCTGCTAGAGCACCCCAAGAGACGATAAGATTAAAAAAGCACGTCAGTTTCTACGTATCTATACTATGGCAACCTAGCTCAGGTTTCTTTATCCTACTGCCATAGTAACATTCCTCATGGGTATAGTACTTGGGGATACTATGGTACCCAACATGGAATAAGTAAGATTATATCCTCTTTTCAGGTATAGTATTTTGTATACAGAATGTGCGCTACTCGATTGCAGTTCACAACCGTGAGTGAGTCCTTCTGTTTAGGGATCCTGGATGGGAAAGCCTCATACAGAGCCTGATATAACTCCTAGATAGTAATATATCTCTGTTTATAAAGCCAATGTAGAAGTCTAAACCTTAAATGTTGTCCAAGTATCCTGTATGCTTTTTGCATAGCATGGTTTGCGGAGCTATGGCGTACCATACCTCGCTCATTGTATATGCCAAAGCCGAAGCCAGCCCCTGTCGATGGGTGCTTTTACCAAAGCCCAGTGAGCTATAGTCTAATTGAACTCAACAAGGGGGTTATCTAGGACTTATAGGGAAGTATTATAGGGGTAATTAAGGGGGATACTGGGAGTTTTGATTCTAGCTCAAGGGACCACTGGGACGCATCACAGCAGCAACCTCCAGCAGCCGCCCTCGCAGCCGCCCCGCAGCCTGAAGCCACAAACTCAGTCTACCACAGCCCTGAACCCTGAAACCCAAAGGCCTAAACCCTAACCCTGATGTGCTCACAAAGCCTATATAAGCCCAAAGGACTCCCAAGGAATCCTCAAACCCTAAAGCTCCAAGGAGAAGAAGAAAGTTGCGCTGGCCACCAACTTGGTTGAAGCCTGGGCTAAGAGGAACTCTGAAGAGACTTCGCGCGAGAGCAAGGCCTTTCGGGGTGGAAGGAGGGGCTTGCAGGTGGACTGGGGAGAGGAGGAGTAGTAAGGGGAGGATTTGGGGCGCATAGGACTTCTAGTGGTCAGACTTAGGTCTATCCACTTTGCAGTTTGAGCTTGAAGGTTCCGTCCTGAGGTCTCAGGACCTGGCTACAGAAGCTTCTTCTAACTAGTGGTGTTTTCCGCTCATCCTTGATTATGGCGCACAACGTCCCCAGCGAAGTAGGATGATATTCTCCTGGGCCCTCCCCATAGCCGCAGCTCTATCTTGCAGCCTGCTTGTGAAATAGCGGGTGATGGGAGGCAAGCTCTTCATGAATCAACGCTTGGTTGAAGCCTTGCTGAAGAGGCCCATATATGTACATGCATGCCATGTCCCTGAATATTGCACACAGTGCAACTCAGAATTTTCGCCTGAAAGTTCGATTACTGTGATTCTTCTTCTTGTTAAGCCTTCGGCCGGTGTGGTTGTTCAAGCGTACGTGGGCAGAGACATGTTGACCTAGCTCTCAGACTTTGGTACCTGATATAGGCAGATAGACAAACTTGGGACATGTTGAAGATATTTTCTGTGATCACACGGAGGAACCCCAGAGTCCTTTGAGGGATACTGTGAAGATGTTGTGCTCCCAGCAGTCGACGTCACAAGGATCACGGCATGATTCGCGGGTCCAATTCCCATTCAGTGTAGCTTCATATCGCAAGGCTCCCTGAACCCAGAACCTTGACTTCAAAGCCAGGAAACTTTGCTACAGACCCTGCTTTGCTGAATCAGGCGTTATACCATGTCCCCTTATTGAGCCCGTGAAATCCCAATTGAACTGAGACCCATTATTAAGTAAGCGCCGTAAACTTTTCCCATGAGGTGGTCCTGCAAAACAATCCCTGAGGCAGCCGCATTCCAGCAGGAACGCCCTGATGGCGGATGGAAGCACACGGGTGGAAAGCCAGTCTCCCAAATTACTGTGGCATGTCTGGAAGTAGCAATGGGTCACAGGAGTTGTTTGACACTTGTTCTGGTGGTTCCATTCAGAAGTACTATATGGAGCCTGCAAAGCTTTGCTCCTCTTTGGGCAGTGCCTCCGGCCCAAGATCCTTCGCCAACTTGCGATAGAGAGAACGCCGGGATTAACCCCTTACCCCTGCCATTTAAGCCTAAACACGGAAGCACACCTCCAACTTGCTCCAAACACTATAAGATCCAAAGTAGTTGTGGACCCCATGGCTCCCATCTTAGACAACCCCGGCAAGCGCATGTCATTCAGCCCAGAGCCAGCGGCATAGGCCGAAGGAAGGCTGCAGGTCAGTTAGAATATTAAAAAGCAAGCGGCCCCGATGTCCTCTGTCGTGCTACATGGCCGTAGCTTTGGGGAGATCTCTACCTTTGAGCCCGCTTGGAGCCCAACCCGGAACATGTGCGCAAATCCACTATCAGAATCTAGGGAGAAGCGTGCGCTACAAGAAGAATTAGTGTGCATGACCTAACCTCTCCCCTCGACACTGTCGGGCCCTTTGCCCACATAGACTTTGCCTGAGGCAAGTCCAAAAATCTTGGGATGCCCATTGGAAAGCACTCGCGTCCCTTTCTCTGCACGTACCGCACACCCAGGCTATGAGCTATTGCCGATTAAGCTTTTCAATCATACAGCCGCCTGACTCCTTACACTCTCCAAGATACTAATTAATTCTTGTGGGGGGACTCCAACAAATGAGCCGCTAATTTCTAGGACCCTCCATTCTCCTCCACCTTGGCGTTCAAAATCGAGGTCGGCTCCATTGTCAGCGGCAATATCACCAACTCCTCCAGAGAGTTCGGTGTCTACGCAACTGATCTGTTTGGAGAATGGGATTCGGATATGGACTCTAGTTGAGGAAAGGGATTCAGGATCCCCCTGGAGACGAGAACTCCGGATCCAATGGAAACAGTTGAAGAAAGAGAATGAAGATCTGCTTGGAACAAAGGTATTGAGGAAAGGGATCTACTTATGACCCCAATTACCTAGAGTCTTCTGGATTCGACCTAGAAATCTAGGGGAAACTACTACCAAACTGTAGGTACTTGGGGTTACAGAAAGGTTTAGGGCTAGGGTGTCCAGGGTTCTCTGCTACCATACTGGTTTGCCTTTCTTTGATCCTGGGTTCTCATCCTCATGTCGAATCCTAAATTATTCGTAATGCTAGCCCCATATCTTTCCCACATTTTCTTGTAGAACTATTGAATACGGTATCCAAAAAGCTCCTTTGAAATAAGTTAGGCCCCTCCTTAAGATTCTTTAGGCTCCCCACCCTAGGGCTTACGGTTTAGGGCTTAGGGCTTAGGGTTTAGGGTTGTTGATACTAAAAATCCTGCATGACCATAGTATACTATATTCCCATAATTTCCAAGGCATATCGTACTTGGGGTCATGCAGGATTTCTAGTATCCACCCTAGATGTTAGAAGTCAGTGCAGAGCCCAGGTCAACTTTGGATGCGAGAAGGATGGGCGGATAAGCGTGCCCCAGGCCAGGTTCAGGGTCTGGGGCTTAGAGTTGGGGTTATATTGGGTTATATTAGGGTTATACTGGGGTTACACTAGGGTTATATCAGGTTTAGATTAGAGTTATACTGGGGGTAGGTTAGGGGTTCAGAGTTTAGGGTTCGGGGTCAAGGGTCAGTCAGGGGTGCGTTAGTTTAGGGCTTCGGGTTCGGGTTCTAGAAGCAAGTTAAGTTTGGATGCCTGTAGTACTTCCCATGTAATCTGAACAAGTAGGAACTACAATCCGTTTGGTGAGGTAAGGCGTGTCTACCATGGCGGGAAAGCGAGAGAGGAGTTCCTCCGAAAGCCCTCTAGAATCTTGAATAGGTAGCCCCCCTCATCCCTAAAGCCATAAACCCTGAGCCTTGACACCTCAACCATGAACCTTAGGGATAATGTAGACGCCTGATTAATAAAAGCCCTCGTTTTCAAGGCCATTATATCAGGATCCTTAGTATAATCCCTAGTAAGGGGAGGGGGTGTTTTAATCACGGGCCTGGGTTACCCTGCAGGCCGAGTGGAAAAAGTATCGTGTGGGGGACCGGGTGGAGCGCATGGTCGTTCACAAGGTGAACGTGGAGTCTTGGTTGACGATGTGGGGATTGTACTGAGTCAGTGTAGTGCTGATCCGCGACTTGGGGGTGTAATCGTAGGAATAATGATAATAAACATAGAGAAAAGGTAGTACCAAAAGTACTAATAGTAATAGTAATAGTAACGATACTAATAATAATCAGGATACAGTGAGTGAGGAGTCTTTCCTTGAGGTTCTGGTGTGAAGTGTGGGGCGAGGCAGAGATGTAGAGGAGGGGGCACACCCAGGAGGTTCACAGAGGGAGCATGCCCCCCTTCCACAATTCGTCAAAGTCAGTGAGCCCAATCCATTGCTCCGGGCTGGTCCAAATGCTTGTTACTTGTATTTGGACTATTCCCAAAATTATGGGCCCTTGGGTTATAGATTATATTACGGCACTAAAGATGGAGGGGAAGCAAAATGGGACCCTAATTTTGGGAGCTACCCATTTGTGCTGTGACTGAACTTATGACTGCCAGGCTTCTGGCGCGACTTGTCACGAACCTGTTAATCCCTTCCCATAGTCAAATCGTTGAGTTGCGAGGTAAGGCAGTTAAGTTTGGAGGATGGACTGCGGGGGCAGATGAATACGCCAGTTGCCTATATCCATCCAACAAAGGTACAGTGGAGGATGTATGAGTAGAAAATGTGTAGGATCCCTGGGGTGTGGAGTTGCCATTAAGCATGAATCACCCTCTTCATTGTTTTCACATGCTACTTGCATTATAACTCTATAACCCTAAACTCTACACCAAATGTGTAGGCCGTTGTGGAGTCCCATGAAATGCTTCCCCTTTGGGATAGATGTAAGAAATCTTGTTTTGTGTAGACTCCCGCATATACATGCTACATTGGCTTTATATACACGTTGTTCTTGACGAGAATCGATATATGTTTACATTTACACATGTGCGAACTTGCATGTATGCATATACATTCACATGCACAGTCTGTTGCATATTTGAACGAACATGTCCATATGCATGTAGAATGTATACATGCACAGTACCTACACGTATACCCACATACATACATACATACATACACACACACACCTATACCTGCGAATTGTCCTGGCATGAGGACAAACACCCCACCTGAATCGCTGAACCGAATCAGGAGCGGAAGTTTGTCGATCTCTTGGTGGTGGGATCCAAAGGTCAATCTATCGGGCTTGCAGCTTCGAAGCAGGCCATGTGCTTTAGGGTTTTGTGTTAGCTTGGGGGTACAAATTTCGCAGGGTTTAGGATTTAGGGTTTAGGGTTAGGGGGTTGGGTTTAGGGGCTTAAAGTCTTGGGTTGAGGCCTTACGATCAGGTCCGGGGGTCTTAGGGCAACGGTTTGGAGATTCGTTTTCTTGCCATGAAGCCACTTGAGGTAAGCACTTGCAATAATATTGTGCGCCTCGGGATCCGGTGGTGTTCCTGGGGCATGTGTACTACTTCTCGAGGCGTTTGTGGGCTTGATCGTGTATTATGGCTTTTTGTGGCTACATGGCCTAGAAGCCCACCAAGTTCAAGCCAAAGATGTCTGTCTCTTGCAAAGGGGCCTACTAAAACGGGTTTCCATGTTAGTTATGGGCAGCATAGCTATCTAATGATTTGGGATGGTAGAGACTGGATCCCTGAGCCTTCGAGCATGGCGAAGTTTGGGATCTTCTCGGAACAGGGGTACCCTTAGGCCCTCAGGGCGGGGATTTACTAGGAATCCCCTGTGAGGGGCTAGGGAGCCTCTTGTCAAGTCATGTTTTGATGACGCTACAGCACTGTTCGATATGCTTTTCTAATTGTGTCTTACTTAAATTAGGCTGTAGTCATGAGCATGGCCAGGTGCAGTACCAGACAGCACAGCATAGTATAGGTAATCAGTAGTGTAATAGAAATGTAGTGTCCTGTATAGTATAAAAAGACTGTAGCACACCAGGATGTAGTATCGTATAATGATCCACTAAACATGTGTGTTCGACAGGTGGCAGAGCGCGCGCTGAGCTGGATAGCCTCATCTGCAGAGCTGCGCAGCACCTTCCGGACCACTCTGCAGAAGCTACCTGTGTGATTATAGGTCTCATCAAAGGTTTGGACTGTTTAGGTTTGGAGGGGTCTACAGATTGCGCGAGCCTGTCGTGCGGACGTATGTACAGGAAGGGATGTGGTCTACGAGGTGTGAGGGTTCTCAACAAAATGTGCTTCCTGTGCCGGGGTATCCTGCATAGTACAAGGTGTCGTGACCTAGCAACTGGATCACCCTTTCGCTTTCTGACTTCCTCACCTCGTTCCAACTCTTCCATCGGTTGGTTTTCGCTGTGTGTTGCTTAACTTGCGAAAGTCGAGCTTTGGTTTTGCCGACGTGGAATGTTGACACGTAAGGCTTTGGGCTAAGCTCGTCACTGCAGCTTCTTGGCCGCAATGCAGTTGATGCTGATTTGAATCCAGTCAAGGAGGATAGCTTCTTCTTGCTATTGGTATTGCTACGATTGTTATCCTTGTTGCCTTCTCCGCTATGATACTTCTAGCTGTTAACATACTGGTTGCTAGCTGCCCCGCTCACAGCAGGTTTGAGATGCAGCATGTGTTGGATACCGCCTTCCGTTGGACAATGATTAGAGCATTTAGCCCGCAATATTGCCCCAATCGTAGACCATGGGTGACTACAGTACCCAAAGCACGTAGATAATAGTTATGGTATAGAGATGTAAAGCTCGTAACCTTGCCCAATCATAGATTGTGGGTAAGGGCAGTACCCAAAGTATGTCAAGATACTTTGGGGCACGTCTTTCTCCTGGCCGCTTCGAGGTCTACTTGGGCTTGTTTAGGGTTTAGGGTTTAGGGTTTCGGGTTTGTTTAGATAACTTCTTCTGCTTGGCGTGCGCAAGCTGAATTTTTATCTTTGGATATTGCCCCCGCACTACAACAGTCCCCAAATAGTGAAATGGCAGTTAGATTCTACGGTGGATACAGTACATAGCTGCTCAAACCCTAAATGACCCCAACATACTTCAGTAGTTTCCATTTCCTTTTCCATTATTCCTAACAACCCTGTACATTATCCAAATTGTTCTCAGGACCCTGCTGACAAGTGGGAGGCGAACCTGCAACTTCTTGGCGAAGCCCCATCTGCCAAGCAGCCACTCACCTGAAATGAGATCAACAAACGAGATCTCAGGTGGACCCCCGACCCAGTAGAAGTGAGAATATAGGATAACAAGGATTACACGAGGGTCCCCCAATATTCCCACTACACCACTATTACAGGGTAGGGGTTCCTCCTAAACGAGGTCCTTCAAGCCTTGTTTGTGGCATGTTTTGCTTCGCCTGAGCCTTGAAGCAGGTTACCCCTACTCAGTCTCCACAGGCCTCTTTGGTAGCCCCAACCCTTGCCAGGATGACATAGGTGTCAGTCACAGGTGTTATTCGGGGTTAATAGAGGCTTATGCGCCGGTTATGAACTCAAGTGGAGAAGACAACCCTGAACTAAACCTTAACCAAATATACTATAGTAGTTTCCATTTTCTTTTCCATTATCCCAATGTTACCCCAATATACTATAGTAGTTTCCATTTTATTTTCCATTATCCCCTATATATCCCCTATATAACCCCTATATGTAAGGGAAACCCCATGAAACCCCAGTGGACTGGAAACCTTAACCATGGAAGGAGCGTGCAGCTTTTGAATCACGTTTTGGAGCAGAAGCCGCAGACGGACCTCCTCCGGGTAGCTCTGAAGTGGCTGAGCAGGACTGCTGCGTTGTCCTGACGGTCAGTTTATGTTAGGAGGACCCCCCATAAGAATATAAGAGGACCCTAATATAATCCCTACTATCTCTTATAGTCACTATTACTGGGCGGGGGGTCCACCTAAAGTTTATGCTTTATGGTTTGGGGTTTAGGGTTCTGGATGTCCTGAATGAAAATGATTCTGTGCTTTTGGCGTATAATAAAACCCCAAAGTAAACAACTAAAACTCATGTTTTGGGAGGGTTACGCGGCAGATCCAGTAAACAGGGCTTACTTAGGCTTTGGGTTGAAGTCTGGCTTGCAGATCCCTTGGTATAGATGGATGGAATGTTCTGAAAGGTACGCCCTTCTGTGTGAGGGCCAGCTGCCACATCCCTAAAGATTGACAGGCTTGAAGGTTGATGCAGGTTTAAGGTTGGGGTTGAGGTTTTAAGGTTAAGGGTTTAGCTTAGGGTATTGAAAATCTTGTTGTTGCTATTGGGCGCTGGGAAGGCAGCAAATTTGAGCTATTGTCAATCAATAAGAGACCAACAGTGGACACAGGAGTCCCGCTTGTAGTTTAGTATAGTCCCCAACATAGTCCCCAATAAGAAATTTATGTCCATTAGTTACAACAAACTGTAACTACAAGCCAAGCAACTCAGCCACGACCAGAATAGTAGTTTGGACGGTGGTGCAAGACACCCAAACCTCACACCCAGTCCATAATTGAGGCGGGACCCCTACCTTGAGGGACCCTGGAGCTAGGTAACATACTTTAAACCCGCAAAAGACCCATTGTAGAGATATTATAGCCCATTATAGGTAGGTTACCCTAACCCATTTGTAACTTGAGGGTCCCTCGAAGTGTAAGGTTCCAATTCCAAGAAGTCGTGCCGCCGAGGTAGGCCCTCCGTCGAACTTCCCAAAATTGGACCCTCACCTCAAAATTGCAAACAAGAGTATCATCCGCTTATGTCCAAATTCTGGTGCCATTTTGGGGTACTGTGTATCTATGATACTAGGGACCCCAAAAGGGGTTCAGGATTTGGACAACCTACCGCTGAACCCTGAAACCGCATCCCACTGACGCCCAGCCCCATCCTGGGAGGATCTCGGCGCCCGACGCTGCGAGGCTGTGGCCAAAACTCCTCCTCAATGATGGCCAGACCTGGGACCCTCGGATGTATTATTATAAGGAATTATATAGGGATAGTGGAACAGAAAATGGAAGGTACTACTTAGGGTTTAGGGTTTAAACTCCTTAAAAGGGGTTACATAGGGGATATAGGGGAGTACTATAGGGGTTACTAAGGGGGATACTAGGAGTTTAGATTATAGCTCGGATGGATTTAGAGCTTGGTTTGGGGCTTAGAAGTATCTAGGAATCAAGAGGGGTTAGGCTTTACGGGGTTTGCTGTAGGGTTTGGGTCACGGCTTACCATCCCCCAGCACGTCGCCCAGAAGCCTACACGGGACAGGTTCATTTGTTTCAAAGCCTGTAGTGCTTTGGGTTCAGAGCGCAGGGCTTACCCTGGGGTTTGGCAAAATTCCCCATGAACCATCGGCCCAAATCTCTACACCCTAAACCAGCCTTGTATCTTTAGAACAGTGCCATTGTTGGGCAATAGCCAGCTCAGAGGAATAGGCGCCTTTTCCTTTGCATAATATACCTCCCCAAACAGGATGGAAACCCATTTAGCCCCGTTTCAAACGGAATGTAGTCTTTACAGTGCCCTTTTTGGGTCTCCATGTTAGTTACCGGGAGGTTTGTTGTTTTCACTTCCCTAAGTCCTACTCAACTCATGCTCTCAGACTCTTTGGTTTCTGGACAACAGAGGTCAATACCGACGATGTGATCGCCTTGCTGAAGCTCTGCAACTGCACCGCATGTACGCAAGAGCATACGCAGAGACACGGCCTTGCATACACGTGCGACAAACGTTACGCCAGCCACTTCAGGGATTCTGCATTTGCTACTCACCCTCATTTTGAGTTTCAAGGCGCCTATTCACTTCCGACTTTGTTGAGTTCCAGCATTTGTCATTTTTTTTGGTCACTTCCTCGTGTGGTAAATGCCATGGTGTTCGGGCTCCGGGTGGAGTGACCAGGGTCTGGACAAACGCGCTTTTGAGCTCCACGCACAAAAGCCTTGCGTACTGTCCAGCCTCAAGTAGTTTCTCGCAACTACGGTCCCCTGATCAACCCCCTAATTGTTGTTGGACCCTTCTTCTTGTGGCCCCGGAATGCCGGAATTGGTTCATCATCTTCCGAGAAAGCCATAGACCTTGAACCCCGAATTCCATACACAAGCCACCCAAAATGGAGTCGAAGTCCAAGGACCTCCAGCAGGATATTTCCAAAATCACAAAATTGAACCCCTGATCCAATGAAAACATGGGTGTTCATTCATTCTAGTGGTTGCTGAAAAGGAACGCCCAAATTTTGAAGAGCCTTCAAACCCTGGAAGTCCCCGAGTCTGAGGTGAGACTGAAGGCCTCGAACTGCCAAAGTTCTCCCAGGTACCTGGCTTTGGGCTGGGGTTTAAAAGGGGTTCAGGTTTAGGGTTTACCGTTTAAGGGGTTCAGGGTTTGGGTTTAACGGCTTAAATCCCCTATAGCCCTACGTAACCATGAGGACCTTTCGATGAATGAGGTACATCCCATAAGGACCCCCAGATAGGACAGACCCTTAAAGAAGGGTTCGGCGCACGTAGCTGTTGGGCCTAGCAGTTGTGATGGATCGTAGACTTTGGGCATGGGTCGGTTCGAGCGGACTTTTCGGAAAAAATCCGTCCGTTTTCTCAGGAGTTTTCGGGCTTCAGCTTGAGGAAAAAGACCTGGTTGATAGGGCAACGTAAGAGTTAAATCAGAACTGCTCGCGACCTGGACTGATGGGGCGCAGCTTGGACTACTGGGACGATCCGTGGACTACTGGAATGACCACGGTAGAAGAACTTCCTGGACTCCAGAAAAGTAGAGATGTAGCACGTGCAGGTGACCGAAATGAAAGTCCAAAGCCTGGCCGGAATGGTAAGGACTAACGACCGACATGACAGCAACCCTCGCTTCCAACAGCCGAAATGTGAGAGGTGAAAGCACTGCCAGCGAGCATGACAATCTTCCGCTAAGATTCACCTGCAGATGCACATGTAAGCACCGGATGATTCCCGGATCCTACGAAAGGAGCCTCAAGGTTCCCCTCTGATAAATACTTTGTAAGTGTCCCTCTGGGGGGGTCTGTCCTATCTGGGGGTCGTCCCCTGGGAATCGACACTATGCAGCCCTAACCCCCAACCTCCAAGCCTCAAACCCCAACCCTTTTCAGAGGACCTTTAGACGAACGCTGTCAGGTGGTGTCCAAGGCCATGCGGGAGCAAGCCACCGAAGCGCTTAGCAAGTCCCCGCTTCCAGAGGCCTGATGTAAACACTACTTGTGGCTTAGGCTTATGGGGATTAGGGTTTAATGTTTAGGGTGGGTTGAGGTTGAGGGTTCAGGGTTGCCTTATATAGAGGGCTTAGAGTTTGATTAGTTTGATTATAGGGCTTCCCCTGCGGCCCCAATCTAGATATGTTGCCTACTTGGAGTTAAAGTCTATAAACCATAACTTATTTGGGTTATGCGGAGCCCTGGGGCTCAGAGATTATATGCCCGAAACCCCAGAAGTATCTAGAGTACGGGCGTCTAATTTGTTGATTGTTTTTAGGGGTTTGGGGTCGCAATGCATGTTCTTTGGAGGTCCTGGTAGTCTAAGTTTTTGAAGTATGGGCCCCTAATATGGGCCCTGAGGCCCTTTTAGGGGCCCCAAGGGTACATATAGGGTATATACTGGTATGTAAGGATCCCATGGTTCAGGGCCCATACTAGGGGCCCATGGTCTCAGTTTGAGAGGCACAGTGAATGTATGGGGCTGAAGGTTTAGGATCTAGGAGTTTGGAGCTTACTACTCATTCTCTAGGGTGGTGCTTCTCTGTTTTGAAAGTGGAGCGGGCGTTGACAACGCTCATTTGAGTAGGGTAGGGTGGTCGTCTCTTGTAAGGGTTCAATGCAACTTGTATAGGAAGGTAGGACGTCAATCTCTCAGTTGCAAAGCAACTTCAAAAGATCCAGCCCTGCATTTTCTTCTTGAGGCTTCTGTCATTTCTGTCAGTAGCACGCGCTTTTCTGGGGACCCGTGCCCCCTCTGTTTGAGGGGCCCCTGGCCCTTCTACAATGACCCCAGGGAAGGGCAAGCATGTTCATGCTTGGAGAAGCCAGGATCAAAACCTTCTGCCACCTCATTGATTTCAGGGTTTGCTCAGGTTCCTTTGGATGCCCCTCTCCATTGGCTCCAGGGGAATTGTGATCTGTACTTGACATGCATCCCGCAGGCGCCCATGCATTTGTTAGCAGGGGTTTGTCTGTGGGGAGCACGGCATGAAAAATACTGTGCACGGCCTCTCCTCTCGCAGATCCATGTACAAATCGCATCAAGGAGGGTTGAATCTCACATTTGCGTTGAACTACAAGAGTTCTCGCGGCACAGGCGGTCGAGACCTGGGCAATCCAGCCTACAGCTTAGTGCAACAAAAGCCCAGACTATGCTTGAACCCAGCAGCTGCATGCCTGAAAACGGGGATTTAGGACCATCAGCATACGCCTGTAGGTCTGCTGGGCCATGTCTACGCGGAAAGGCGTGCAAGCTCTGATCCTTTATGTGGCATGCACCGCCAGGGCCAGTGTGCTCAAAGCATCCCATGGGCAAATTTCAGACGGGTCCGTTTCTGCCTTCCAAGAGTCGGGGCTGAGTGTGGCCGAGGAGGCAACCTTGCTACAGATGAGGGAGACATCTAACCAGACTCGCCAGATATCATCCTGTTGGGCCATGCTGGCCAAGCATGAGGAGGTGTCCCGGCGGGCAAACATTCCTGTCATAATCAGCCCAAAGCCCTGTCACCGCCCTTGCAGCTATCATCACGGATCGCGCAAATGCTCCTTCATTTGAAGCCAATGGCTTCCCTCTGAGATTCAAAGCCCCTCCCTGTGAAAAAGATATTCCTTGCGAGAGACTTTCTGCACATCACTAGAAACACATGCTACACGTTAGTGTATGAACATGTATGTGGGAACTGTTGAGCATTAGTTGGTAGAGGGTTTTCAGGATTAGGGGAGGTGATTGCCGAGGTGTTGAAGCCGCTCCCACCAGCGACGGATGCTCTGTGGCAAAAGCGCTTGTATCTGGCCAGGCAGACTCCTCCCAGGAGGACTTCGGACTTCAACCTTAAACCCTAAACCCCTAAACTAGGCCTTAAGCCCTAAAACCTGAAACCCTCCTGCAACCCTAAACCCTACCAGACCCTGAGGACTTTGGTTATTTTCTCCGGGCATTACATCCCCCCAGGGCCCAGCGCTGAGAAGGCCTACATGGAGAACCTGAGGCAGGTATTTGGGGATATTATGGTACCCAATATAGAGTAAGATTATACCCTCCTTTTGGGCATAGTATTTTATATAAGGAATATTATCTTACTGGGTTTAACCACCAAAAAATCGCTACTCAAATGGGAAGCCCCTACTTTGAAGCACCCTCCTGGACGGTTTATTAGGCTTAGGGTTTAGGGCCTAGGGTTAAGTACCAACATGCCCAAAATAATAGAGAATCGAATGGACAATGGACAACGGAATGGAAAATGCGTTTGGGTGTTGGCATTTTGCTTGTTTAAGGGTCCCTGGAGTTACTAATGGCTCAGAGACACGCTTATCATGGGTTCCAATAGGATTTTAACAGGCTTATTAGAAGGCCCGAGGGCTATGATGTATTACCTAACTGGACCTAACTCCAGGGCCCCTCAAAGCAGAGACCCCGAGGCCTAATATATAGACACGATAAAGGGAATATGGGGCTTGCTACAAGGGATTCTATATAGATTTTTTGAAAACCCCCCAGGTATTTCTTGAAGTACGGGGCCTGCCGAGACAAGCTGGTAACCACCCTAGTGGTCGTGGGGCCGGAGGCGAACGTCACGGCACTTGTTGAAGCTGCTCCGCACGTGACATGGCTACGTCGCAGCCCTTATTGTTACGACTTGGAAGCCTACAAGGTAGGCCTCAAGCACATAGGCGCAAAGGGGCTTAGAAGCTACGATTACTTCGTCTTTCTGAACTGCGGCTTGGCAGGGCCGTTCCTGCCAGCTTCTGCACTGGAGGCAGGCATTCACTGGTCGCGTTACTTCACCTCCCGTATCACCAGTAAAGTGAAGCTGGTGGGTATTGGTTTCAACTTTGAGGCACTTCCCCCCCTCAGTGGGCGGCACCCCACCGTCATGTCAATGCTCCTGGCTACGGACCATGCAGGGCTGAAAGTCCTTGTGAGGCACGTTGAGCATGATCTCAACATTGACCTAGTCTCTGGCCCGGCACTCGACGACTTGCATGCCGCTGTGGAGTGGCCAACCACGCAAGTAAAATGCCGCGCAGCTGACACTCGTCACGGCGACTTCGTGACTATGTCAAGGCTTGAGTTCATTAATAGCTTTGAGGTGCTCCTGTCGCAGAGCATGTTTGACGGTGGCTACTCCATTGCTGCCATTGACCTAGCAGATTTTGGCAAGGAAATATCCAGCCGAGATGGAACTGAACAAAGCCACGGCGATCTCCTGAAACCCGGTTTTTACTTGAACCACTCCACGATTGGACCATTTGACGCGATCTTCATGAAGACCACACGGCATGGGGAAGCAGCCCAGAAAAGACATCAGGTGCGGAGTTTATTGGCGACAGCTTTGTAGCGCCAGCCGCTGCACGCACGGTCAGCTACTTTGAGGGGCCCTAGAGGCCCTAGAGTTACTAATGGGTTAGCTAACCTCCATAGAATGGGTTACAGCTGGGTTACAGTAGTATTAGAATGGGTTTGCCAGGGGGTTTGAATATTATCTTTCTCCAGTGCCCTTCAAAGTACAGCTTGGCGTCGCTGCCAGCCAACCCTGGGCTTCTAAGTCCACAGCCTACAAACGTGGCATATATTTTCTGATATCTAGTGGAGTATATATAGCCTTTGGAGAAAATAATACACACGCAAGAATGCACATATATGTATACGTATTTCAAATACTGCCAAGATTACAAAATTCCGTATATACTTGGAGTCCCCGGGTAAAGCTTAGGGTCTAGGATGAAGTACACTTGGGTGCGGCAAAATTGCTGTACTCGCAAGCGGTTCAGTTCAGACGCGCAAAAAGCCACGCGATCTGTGTTAGCATAGGTGCGTAGAGTTGATTACTCGCTGATTTCCCCAAACAGTGGAACCCCCACTCCCCAAAGAAAGAATAATCACAGTATATCATTAACTGGTATCATATGAAGATGTTTCATCTAGGCCTGTTCTTCAAGTCCTCTGATCCCGACACATATCCCTGTCCGGCATGGAGCCGATTCATTAGCAGTCTCAGCATGCTCGAAATTGGTACATGTGGCAGTGAGGTTACATTCCCCCTAAAACACATAGCCTGCTACCTGTAAAGGCCCCATGACAGCTGCCGTAATGTTTGGTCAGATGTTGTTGGCTGTATCTGTGAGGCTGCGGTAGTGCTTCCTACAATAGCGAGCAGCTGACGATGGAGAAAATGACAAAGCTGCAATCCCAAGGAATGCTCCCTTTGAGGGGGTTCTGAGAGTGTTGGCAAGAATGTCATAGATTCTGGTATGTTATTCAGTTAAAGGGACCCAAATTGGATACCCACAACCAGACCGTGGATTTTGCCCCCTCCGCACAAGAGGTCCTCCAATATTCTAATTGCCACAATCCCTTGCCAGTGGTATTGGCAGTCCCATACATGACTGTTTTTTAGTGGTGTGGGCTGGGGGATTGCATAAGCTATGGAACCCACAGAGCTCCTTTTCAAAAGGATCTCACTTGGGGCTTCCATGTAAGGTAGGCAGGATTCAAATTACGAGGTTTGGGTGAATGCATATGAAATCAAAATGCTGGTGAGCGTTGGATTCGTTGGATGCCTGATTGGGGAGACCAGAAGTTCTCCCACTCATTAACAGCTGAGGACCCTATCATAGACTGTTCATGGGACCCAAGTTTTGACCATTGTAAGCCCTAAGACTCCGCTTCTGGAGGCTCGCCTGGCCGCCATCCACGTCCTGCGCGAGCAGCACAAGAGTGGCTTGGTCAGGAATTTAGGGGTCTAGGGTGTAAGGTTTAGGATGAGGGTTTGATGCATAGTTTTCAGGTTTCACCTGAAGTAACCCTTATGGACAGGTTAAAGATATGAACATCATGGGTCCAAAGCCCTGTTTTCTTGATGCGTTGGTTGCTCCAGGCAGGTTTGTGGAAGTTTTCCGGGGGTCTGAACCATGGGTCCTTAACCGGGTGTCTGGGGGTATGTAGGATACATAATTTACTAGGTATAAACGGACCCAAGGATTAAGGGCCCTATACTAGGGGCCCATAGTTCCAAGCTTAGACATTAAGATGGGATTTCATCCTAAACCCTAAACCCTAAACCGGCTGAGTGCTAGTGATTAGGGTCTACCTCGACCTCTACAACTCCCATTTCAACGCCCACAAAATAGGTGCAGTGTGATGGGTGGTTATATTAGGGAGGTCTAGGCAGTTGCTTATAGTATTTTGCTGGGTTTTTTTGAGGTTGTTTTAGAGGACTGCGTGGCTGACAGCCTCAGCTTCTAGCATCTAGCATCTACAGGGGGAATAGAAGTATATATGACCCTGCCCCTATACCACTATTACTAACATTATTGCTATTAGTATTTCCATTATTATTGATTAGTGTTACTATCGCATTTTTTCCCCTGGGTACAGTCTGGTTCAGCTTCATTCGAGATCCTCTCCGGGCTCGTAAAGAGTGCAGCTGTTTAGTGACTGACCTGATGTTTAGGAACACTTATCCATCAAGGTTTCTTGATTATAAAATTTCTTGACTTCCCTAGATGTTTTCTCGAAAGACTCAACCTTCAGGCCCTGAACCCTGAACCCTAACCTATGAGGGAGTTTCTCGCTATTATATAAGCTACTGTCAGTATGAGGGTTACCCAGGAACCATTAAGGTTTTAGGAGTCATTTCGGTACTTGAGTAATTATGCTCCTAATGTCCATTAATTCTTTGCGCATATATTCCTTGCCGAACCCCCCCCGCAATCCGACTAGACCCCCTCCCTGAGCATCCCTCAGCACACTCTTGTTTTCGAAGCTTACACCCTAACACCCGTAAAACGCCCTGAGCCCAAACCCCTTAACCTTAAATGAAGGGCAAAGAAGTTGCCATGTCTCATCCAATTCCCTCTATAACCTTACTCAACTTCTTTGAAGGGCCCTATGTATCCTCTTCATACCCCTGCAGACCCCTTTCATTTCTGTAAGCATGCTTAAGGCGGTGCCCCACCTGCGGGTATCAACGCGCTCTGCTACGACCCCGTCCACGCTTCATGGACGCTTATGCCAGGGACTACTAAACTGTTTAGGGTTGGCAGAGGTAGGTTGGAAAATGAATCGTAAGTTGTCACTACTTTTTAATCCTTAAATAACCCCTAGAAAGCCATAGCTATTTGTCATAGGCCCCCCAACCCTACCCTAGCTTAGAGTTTAGGGCATGTGGGTGCATGGGGGGGTGAATATAGGCCTAGTGACATGTGGATTATGTTGAAATAGTTATACAGATCCAGCGAGGTAAGCCAGAGCCCAAGTTCAACCACTTCTTTCATGACGAACGATATAGACGACACCTGTGTCTCTTCATATGCCTACCTAGGTAGCCTGGATGTTTGGGGGCTCCCCTGGGCCTGCGAATAATCAAGTGGCTCAAGAGGTGACAGGAATGTAGGTAACCTGAATATATTTCCAAGCCCTAAACCCCTATGTCATTGACTGGTTTTGCAAAGTAATTGCTCCCTTTGGGCTACCCGCAGATGGTATTAGTCAAAATCCGAGCCTAAGTTTCGACTCCTGAGCGGCTACTAATTTTGATGCATGGCTTCGTGGAGAATGATGAAGGGCCTAGCATGTTTGCAAGGTCATGGAGCTTAATTATGCTTGCTCAAAATGAATATCGAGAGTCAAACCGCGTCGTTCCTAAACATGTGTTTTCCTACCAAGACCGCATAAGCAACACAAAACGATAGTTAGCAATAGTACTCCAAGCAAGGAACTGGTTCTTAGAAGGGGAATATGGGAGTACACTCCATATATAATCCCGATATACTATGTTCCGCTATTCCCTAGTTACCTCCAGTAAGATAAGGGACCAGAACAACCATTTTGCAATGAGAACAGCCGAGGTTGTACGGGCTGCTGCTCGGGATCAGTGGTTGGCCCTGGGAGGCCAGGTACAGTCGGTTTAGGGTTTAGGGGTTTTGGGTTTAGGGGCTCGGGGTTCAGGCTTTAGGGTTTAGAGGCGTCAGGGATCTGGGAAAAAGGTAACTGCCCATGTGAGGTAGGGTCTTGTGGCTTTAAATGTATCTGTTTTTTTTAAACGACGTTGGGTATGGCTTTGTTATGAATTTAGTGTAGATGGGGTGTCTTGAGAATGTTGGCGAATAAACCCGCGGAATGATTGTCGGCAAGACCAGAAATACCAGTCCTACATGCCCACCTCGTATGTGGGCATGTTCGCAAATTAGATTCGTTTACATGCCAAAACTACAGCCCTGAAATTCGGGACTCCCACAAAGCAACTCCTGACTTTTGCAAACCGCCATGTAGAACAAGGTGCGGGGCTTTAGGCTGTTCAAGCCAAAGCCTGAGGGAGAATACGAGTGTCCCAACCTCCAAAATTAGAACCCGATTATAGTTACCAGAAGAAGGGACCCTCTTTTACAAGTCCCTACAAAAGCGTTGCAGCACATCATGGGGTCTATATCCGGACGCCCCATGCCTGGAAATCACTATCCAGGATAGTATAGAGGTGGCACGGCTCAAAATCCGACCTCGTCCTTCCGAGAGATACATGATAGCAGTACATTACAGGTGACATCGGGCGTGTACCATGAATGTCTCTCGGTAGCTCTATTCCCAGGACTCGTATCGTTCAGGTGTATATTATAATGATTCTTACCATCATTATTCTTACTATTATTACTACTATCACTGTTATCATTCTGATTGTTGTTAATCTCAGTTGTAACTTCGGCCTGGAATCTATTCATGCCCTCCCAAATTTGCCTGTAGCAAGGTAACCCCATTTGAGACATCCCCTGCACCGCGCAGCTACCCCAAACCCAAAAGGCTAAACAAAAGGCTTCGCCCTGCAGCCTTCTCTTGAGGGTCCAAGGCCCCCAATAATAGGGCTTTGGGGCCCAAATACTATACTATTAATGGTATTTGGGCCCTAAAACCCTCTTATTTGGGTCCTGAATGAAACAAGGCAAGGACGAAGGGTGGAAGAAGAAGAAGTCGGACGAGGAGAAGGAAGGTGCGGAGAATCAGGGGTGTTGGGCTCACCTCCTCCGCTTACAATTCAAGGGTTTACGGGGGTGAAGAATTTGTGAAGAATTTGGGGCTTAAAGCTTAATCTATTGCTGTGGGAGTTTCTCCCCTCTGTATTCTGAAAAGGTTCCATAGAATCCCTAACCCTGAACCCTGAAGGTGAGGATGATGAGGATGACGAGTGAGCCTTGAGCCATTCTCTGAAAGGCACGGAGGACAGGGCTCGCCACTTCTCCCGTGTGCTCGGGCCAGGGGGGTTAGGGATTTGGTTTCTGGCCACACGTATTTCGAGTTTTTGATGGTCTTGAACTGGGGCTTTAAAGCGTGGATTCGAGAGTAAACCCTAAACCCTAATTTGAATTTCAGAGTTGAGGGCTTCCATGAGCTTGCGTGTGCATGCCATGCGGGCTCCACGGCAGACGTGTACAAAATGCTGCTGACTGCGCGGGCGCTACCAATACTGTGGGTCTCTATGTTCCGGGGTTTTTCAAATTTTCTGTACTTTCAAAGGTAGGTTGACAGGAAACACCTATTAGAAATGCCCCATGAAGGATAAGGGGACTAGACATCATAGAATTACGGGCCTACTCCCCCGCCTTTAATCCGCGGGGGCAAATATATTCTAAGGGGCCTATAACAGCCATGTCTTACAATGGTCCTTTCCAGCTCTTGCCTTCTGGCTCGACCGAGCACCTTGGAGTCTTCTTTGCTTCAGCGCCAGGGTGGCTATAGCTGCAACGCCTACATATTTTTGTAGGGTCCCCGAAGGCACCGCTGTTTTTTTGAAATCCTCCAATGGTTGTAGATATGATTTGTACTGAACCTGACGCGGTCACCTTGCTGAAGCCGAAGTGTTGGTGAGCTTTTCCGTGCCTACAGTAGATTCCTGCTAGTGCACCTACTCAGATCCAGACCCAGACCCACAGATGTCATGCGATAGTCATGGGGAATTTCAAGACTTTATGTGTGGTTCTAGGTACACTGCCGTCGCCACCACCATATGCCGGCGGCTATGACAGCTGATGCTATCAATGCTAGGCCATCCTACTACGATTGCGAGGACTGTAACTTCTAGTAATACTGTGACTATATTGCCTTTTGAGTTGCAGTCACGCATAATTATTCATTATTTACGATAACTGCTATCATATGGCTCTCACTATTGCTATTACTATGACCATGTCTTCTATTCTCAAACTGTTTTTGCTGATGTTTCTGTTCCCTGCGTTGCAGTAGCAGTAGTAGTAGTAGTAGTAGTAGTAGTCGTCGTCGTCGTCGTCGTCGTAGTAGTAGTAGGAGGAGTAGTAGTAGAAGTAGTAGTAGCAGTAGCAGTAGCAGTAGCAGTAGCAGTAGCAGTAGCAGTAGCAGCAGCAGTAGCAGCAACACCAGCAGCACTAGAAGTTAGGAGTAGCCGTAGGAGCAGCAGGAGGAGGAGCAGTAGCAGTGGTAGTAGAATGAGACTACTAGCAGGATGCCGGTGACAAGTACAACGGCAAATGTTACTGCTGCTAGTACTTTGTACATTAGTGTCACCATTGTTCACTTGATTTTTTTTGTCATGCTTTGTGGTTCTACATACAAGAACCAATCTTACGCATTGCCATGCTGGGCCAGATTCTCCTGTGCAACGTGAAGGTCTGAAGAGTCGTCAGGATCTGACACTATCGCTTTGCACGTCAGCTCGGCATGCTACGGCGCCGATAATGTTTCAACTGCATAATAAGGCACCGATCCGCTGGCTGATGTGTACAGAGTGCAACGCTTTTCATGGAAAACACGCCGTTTACTAGATACGCGCCAGGAGCACATCTCGTTGCAGCTGCTACACTACACTTATTTCGAAAGAGTTCAACTTTGTCGAGCTTTATCTGAGGGCTAGCGTCTTGAGGAACACGGGAGTCAGGTAATTTATTAAGTCCCCTTACTGAACTGATATAACCCACTGGAACGCTTTATGAGTAGGTTCCCTAACCTATTACCAACCCCAGGGTCCCGCAAAGTAGAATTACGGAGTACAGATGTCCAGCCCTCTCAGAAGTCTTGTACGGCGGCATTTGAAAAGGGTTCTCAAGGCTCCGAGCTGTCAACTAACACCCTGCTCCTAATCATCAACTCCCCTGGACCTCTAATGACATATAGCCCCAACATAGTACCATTACACTTCCTGAAAGCTTTTTTTTTAGAAGGTAGTGGTAAGATTGCGCTGCATCGCTACTCTACAGCTAGGCCTTCCCAGTTATGAGGAGGGACTTCAGTACAGGTTTCGCCGAGCGTATCTATGGGGTTTCCCGTTTGGGGAAAAGCCGCCGTAGCTACATGTCAGATCCGGAGTCATTTGGTACGTACAGACTTCAGTGGGGACCTGGGCTTTCCAGGATATGTAGGATTTGGGTTCTCTGTTGAAAGCCCTTACAAACTCAAACCTCGGCAATTATGGCATTGTTGTATGTTCAGGTCATGCAGGATTTCTAGTAGCGACGGTATCATTGGTTTGTGCTCTTATATAGACCTCCGTCTTGTAAACCTATTCATGACCTTACGGAAAATGATAGTGCCAATGCCGCTCAATACCGCCAGCAAGAAACAAGCGCACTGATTATTCTTACCGAGAGCTATGATGATCCTTTGCCGCTTGTTGCTCAAGGTAACTCTTTATTTGTAGCTCGCTCACTGAGCAATGCGTTTGGCCTTCTCGTAGCAGCGCTGGGAGATGTCAGCATCACAGGAGAGCTCTCGACGGGTTGAAAAGTTGCATTATTGGAACTGTTCTGCTGCTTGTGCGGGTGCTCGTGCGTTGCTGGTGTTGGCGATGTTGCTGCTAATGCCGCTAATTCCGCTGGTGCCGCTACTGCTACCGCCGTTTTTGCCAGCGGTGCGCCCGTGCCGCCGCTGCTGCCGCTGCTGCCCTGCCGCCGCTGCTGCCCTGTGGCGGGGGAGTACCTCGGTCCCTTGATGGCAGTGCCTAGCAATGAATTCCCTGAGCCACTACAGGCGGCAGGAATTCGAGCTGGAGGTTCGGGTTGTTTGTCCATGCATGGTTTTTGCGATGGCATCATGACACAAAATTCTGGCATCTCTTTCGCTACGATACCGAGTACCTTGCCGCTATCCTGTGCTTGGTATATGTATGAGTGCCCATGCAGGTGTTGCCTGTGTTGTCCTGGCTACATTCTACACCCTAAACCCTAAACCTGCTGTTCTCCGAACCGGGGTCCTCTTGGAGGATCTCGGAATCCAGATCCAACAGAGGTGTTTGTAGAAATGGTAAGCCTCATGGACCGGAAGGAAAACTGGCGATTAAAAGGGATTTCGGCAGTCCGCGGTCTCTAACTTGCCCTAAATACTATTTTGACTTGCGTGGCTAACATGTGGTTTTATGGACGTTGACAATGCTTGGAGGCCTCGGGTGCGAGCGCGTTCCACCTCAAAGTACATCTCCCATGCAAAGGCATGTAGGGCAGCCCAGCAAACCGCTTTGCACGGGCTGCTCCAAATCTGTTGTTCATGAACCCTCCGCGCACAATATGGTGTATCAATGAAAATGGCCAGAAGTACTGATTTTCTTTGACATACAACAATGTGTCTGAGAACCCGCCAAAATTTGAAGATCATGCCGGCCACTTTGCAACCGTACACGAACGCACAACCTTGGAATATCTCTACTTAAACATTTTCACGCCTCTACCCGAAATCCGGAAACCCGCCTGCTACCCCATTTATCAGTAGGGTAAGTAGCCCAGCTATACGTATTTACTAAGTCCCATGAACCTTCAAGTAGGAGCTGGCGCGTCAGCTCAGAGGCCGGAGATCCCTTTACGGTTCTAGCTTTGGTTAGGGCTCGGGGTATAAGGGGGTAATATTGGGATACTGGAAAAGAAAATGGAAACTGCTATTTAGGGTTTAGGGTATTAGGGGTAATATTGGGATAATGGAAAACAAAATGGAAGCTACTATTTAGGGTTTAGAGTTTAGGTCTAGGGTATTCGGGTTGGGATGATGACTTTTTTTGAGCTCCTGGCGCAACTGATGTGCAGGGTAGAGATGTGAGACAGGGGGCTCGATTTGGGGGAAGGTTAGTGTATCTTCATTTTAGAGGATAGGATGTTTCTCAGGCTTCTACAACAAGCCGTCGCTAGCCTGGATATAGTTGGGGTAATGGCGACATGACCTCGGCTTTCCACTACACTGCATGGGTAAGGAGGTTCCTACAATCACTGCTTTGGGGAGAGTCACGGTAGCTGCCCGGAAGCTGAGACTGATATTTGTCCATGTCTAAATTAGGAACCGAAAGCGCAAACCTCAAATCTAAATCTTGAACCCTAAGCAGCGCAGCCCTGCACCCCATACCCTGAGCTGTAACAATCGTATAAAGACTCCGAAGTACAGGAGCCTGGGCATAGAAAAGCAAGCATGCACACATCTGGGCAAGATGAACGCTACATGATCCTCCAATATAATCCTAACACAATTTCTGTACAGGCCTGGCCTCCCTGGGAACCCCGTTGTTGTGGACCCCTCATAATACACCGCTAACTTCCATAATGTTCCCGAAGCAACCCTGAACCCTAGACTCCCTGGAACCTCCGAGTTTTGCAAAATGCGTGTGTGCTTGCAGGCCATCAACACAAAAGCACGCAGAGCCCGGAAGATGTTGTTGGCAACCTCAGCTGGCTTTGAAGATGTGAGCCAAGATATGAAAATTCGTATGAGTAATTGTCGAAATTCCTTTAAAAGGTGTTACAGAGGGGCTAATATAGTGGACTACTTTAGGGCTGATTAAGGGGGCTAGTAGGAGTTTAGACTATAGCTCAAATGGAAAATAAGATGGGAAGTGGGACACTTGTCGGAGTTGTCTAGGATTTGTATGTAGCGCCCTAAAGGGTGACAACAACGTTTTGGGGCAGTCCAAGGGTAATGTCCCCCCTCGACCCCCCTAATGAAACATATTGCCGATGTAGTACCACTAAATATGAGGGGCAACATTTATTGTTAGGGGTGTGGGGGGGACCATTGTTCAGAGAGAATACTAGTACGCTTAATCTTGTGCTGACCATATTGCAATGTTGACGGTGTGAGCCCAGTGTACGGGGTTTGGTCCTGGTGAGGTTGAGTAGGATGTAGGTCGGGGCTTCGGGCTGTGAAGCTCTTGAGGAGTTACCTCCCTCTATGCGAACCCCAATGTAGG